TCCTGAATGGAAGTGGTAGCAAGTCACTATGGATTTTGTGACAAGATTACCCAAGACTGCGAAAGGATATGACGGAATTTGGATAGTAGCAGACAAACTTACTAAATCTGCTCACTTCCTCCCTGTTAACAAGAAGTATTCATTGGATAAACTAGCAAGCTTATATATTAAAGAGATTATTCGATATCATGGGGTGTCAGTTAGCATTATCTCAGATAGAGATCCAAGGTTCACCTTTAAGTTTTGGGGAAGTCTACAAAAATCTTTGGGCACACAGTTAAAGTTTAGTACAGTTTTTTACCCCCAAACTGATGGCTAATCTGAAAGGATAATACAAACTCTTGAAGACCTCTTAAGAGCATGTGCTTTGGACTTTGGTGAGAGTTAGGATATACACTTGCACCTAATTGAGTTTTCTTATAATAATACTTACTACTCTAGTATACAGATGGCCCCATTTGAAGCTATTTATGGAAGAAAGTGTAGATCACCTATACACTGGGATGAGGTAGGAGAACGGAAGCTTTTGGGACCTCAATTAATTCAAAAAGATACTGATAATGTTCGAATTATACGCCAAAGATTATTAACAACTCAAAATCGTCAAAAAAGTTATGCAGATCGAAGGCGAAAAGATCTAGAGTTCAAAGTTGGTGAGCGTGTCTTCTTGAAAGTGTCACCAACCGAGGGAGTTATGAGGTTTGGTCAAAGGGGAAAGTGAGCCTCTAGATTCATTGGCTCATTTGAGATCTTACAAAAGGTTGAGCCTGTGGCGTATAGATTGGCATTGCCCCCGGCTTTGGCTAGCATCTATGATGTATTTCACGTGTCTATGCTTCGAAGATACATCATGGATCCATCACATGTCATATCTTATCAACCTCTACAACTAAGAGATGATGTCACTTTTGTGGAACAACCAACCCAGATCTTGGAAAGGAAAGAACATATTCTAAAGAATAAAATTATACATTTGGTAAAGATTTATTGACAACACCATTCAGACCAAGAGGCAACATAGGAAAGAGAAGAAGATATGCGAGAGTAGTATCCTCATCTATTCTATTAAGGTAAGCTAAATTTAGGAATCAAATTTCCGAGGAGAGAAATGTAATCAAATCAAATATTTAATTTATGAATCAACTTTTATTTCCTTACTTGTCATTATAATTTAGGAAATATTAATCTTATTTTCTTGTTTGTCATTGCGAATTAGGAAATGACTATTAAGTATTTCAAATAGGGTAATATCATATTTGTTAATATATTAAACAAAAATACTTCATATTAAATAAATACAAAAATTAAGAAAATTTTCCTTTAATAGAGGCTCACCTCATCCGATTTAAGAAGAGGAATTTCTCACTTTCGTTCCTCACGTAGCTGAGCCCAACAGCAGGAGGAACGAGGAGTTACATCCTCGTTAAGGATAGGTAAGTTTCCCTACCTTCCTTGAAAATAAAAGTTTTTATTTTGATTCCTTAAATGTTGAAATTTTTGTAGTTTGAAAATATTTATCAATCCTTTTAATGTCAAAATATTTATTATTGGATTAAAATATATTATCTGAAGTTTTTAAGGATTCTTTTTAAATGTTTTTATATTGGATTTAAACATATTGAAATTATACATATTTTATGTATTGAATACATGATGTCTGATTTTTCATATTTGGATTAAGAATGTTATTTCCTCGTATTGCAGTTTATATTTTAATCATATCTGGATTAAAATATACTATGAGTAGTTTAAAAAATATATATTTCTTAATCCTTTAAATGTTAAAATTTTTATTGTTAGATTATAATATACTATCTAAAAAAAATTTATCCCTTTTAAGATTTAAAATTTTATTGTTTGATTAGATCATGTTGAAATTATTCATGTCATATGTATTAAAAGTATGATTTCTAATTTTTATTGAAGTAAGAATATCATTTCCTTGCATTGAGGTTTATCTTTCAATCTTATTCTTTAATCTGTTGTTATGTTTTAATGTTTTATTGTTAGTGAATATATGTTGTCATAATTCGATATTGATGAAATTGGATGGAAATAAGGTTAAAACAACCTGCAAACCCGGCCCAACCCATAGATCAGGCCATAGCCCACTGGCTAGGCGCAGCCAACAGACTAGGCCCAACCCGCGGGTCAAGCCGTAGCCTGTAGGCTAACCCAGTCCAGCCCAACATGGGCAGTCATGTGCGACGCATATGACCAGTCCATAGGCCAAGGTTAGCCCAGCCTGGTGTGATGCATGCACAACTATGTGCAATGCACATAACTAGTATATGGGTTGGCCCAGCCTAGTCTAATATAATGTGATTGTTGGATATGAGCCCAAATGTTGATTGAACTAAACCAGACTTGATTAGTCTAGATCAATTCAGGGTGATTCCGAATTGGTTTGACTTATTCAGGTCAGTTTAACCTAAATTGAACCTAATCTAGTCTAAATTATACTAGTCTATAGTGGTTCTAGACCAGTTAAATAAGGATTAGAGATCGGTTCAGTGAGGTTCTAGTAAATCGAGTTCAATTTAATCGATTGAACTAAGGTTCAAGTCAATTGAGAGCTAATTAGTATTATTTGATATTGATGATGTTTGAAAGAGATGTTTTAAATGTATTATTTCATCCCAATATAGACATGACCAGTGTGAGATTATGTTATTTCCCTGCCGAGAGCTGGTAGGGCGATTCCCTTCAGGGATTAACGGGTTGTTAGACATGACGGTTGGACGGTTCCTCCGTCCACTGTTGGGAGGAACATGTCCCAACTTTAGCAGGTGAGGAACACCACTCCATCCACTGTTGGGAGTGTGATATGAGTTTTCTTTCATCCGTTATTGAGAGAATACAAACTCATCCCGTAGGATAAAGCCTCTTCATCCGTTATGGGGGAGTGCTCCTTCAGGTATTTGATATACGCCAATGGGATGATTGATTTTTTATCATGTATTCATTTTGAGTTGACTTTTGGGGTTCATACTCAGTGTTGCTGAATTTTCTTTGTTATTGATTTTCAGAGCAGCCTCCCACTAGCACTAAAATTAGATTCCAGTGGAGAGCGGACCTTCCTCTACCGCTAGGTAGAGCTATTTGGATGATTTTTCAAGTTAACATCACTATGTTTACTTTTCTACTTATGATTTGACGAATAAATGAATTGTAATAATTATTTATAAATGATGAATAAAATGATGTTTATCTACTTGGCTCTAAATGTATGGAAAGAAATGATCCTGAAAAAAAAAAAAATCCAGTATGTGACATCGTTTTATGCTATTAGAGTCAGATTAAATTATAATATATTATCTGAAAATATATTAGGCCTAGCCTACGGGTTGGGCGTAGTCTGCTGGCTGAGCCTAACCAGTGGGTTGTGGCCTGACCTATGGGTTGGGCCTGGTTTGCAAGCGGTTTTAACCTTATTCATATTTAATTTCATCAATATCGAATTATGATAACATATATTCACTAACAATAAAACATTAAAAACATAACAACAGATTAAAAAATAAGATTGAAAGATAAACTTCAATACAAGAAAATGACATTCTTAATTCAATAAAAATTAAAAATCATACTTTCAATACATATGATATGAATAATTTCAAAATGATCTAATCAAACAATAAAATTCTAAATCTTAAAAGGGATAAAAAATTTTAGATAATATATTATAATTTAATATAAAAAATTTTAAAGGATTAAGAAATATATTTTGAACTACTCATAATATATTTTAATCCAGATAAGATTAAAAGGTAAACTGTGATACGAGGAAATAACATTCGTAATCCAAATATGAAAAATCAAATATCATATATTCAATACATAAAACATGTATAATTTCAGTATATTTAAATCCAAACAAAACTTTTAAGAGGATTGAAGAATCCCTTAAAAACTTCATATAATATATTTTAATCCAATAATAAATATTTTAACATGAATTCCTCACGAATTGGGCACTATTTTTTGAATGGCTTGAAATCAGATTTATACCATTAAAAGAATCATGATGACTTTTTCATGAAATTTAATATGGATTTCACGAAACACAATACAACCAACACTCAGTGGGATATGTCAACATTTGGAAGATTGAACTTCAACAAACAAAAACATGCAGATAAAAATTTTCTTTCATCCAACAGTTTTCTTGAAAATTTTTTTGGGTCATGTAACTCACTTGATCCTAGAAATCAAACTTCAGAAATTTCCTGTCCTTTCCTGAATGTGCGACGGATGTGGCAGAGATCCATCATAGTATACACCAACCATACATCTCTAAAATCAAACTGCTAATGTACGTAAAAATCCTTACATAGCACATGAAGCTAGGGTCAATCACTTTACCCAAGAAAAGCCTAATTAAAAATGGGAATCAACTTTTTCTCTTCTTACAAAGATCAAAGCAATCAAGGAAACAATGAAGCTACTATGTCTAGTAAAGTGTTTGAATTCATCAATTCATTTAATAGAACAATCTCAAGAGAGAATAGTAAGCAAAATACTACAAAGAAGACAACAAGAGAACCAATAAATCAAAAAGAAAAAGACAAAGAGAAGCAAATCCCTAGAAGAAAATGGGACATGTCGGCACCAGAAGAAAAATAAATTCTACAAATAAAAGATGAAGTTAACAGATTTTAGTTCATACAACAGTTTTTTAAAAGATTAATGTGTCATCTAACTCACTTGATCCTATAAACCCAAATTCACAGAATTTCCTGTCTCACTGAAGGTGCTACGAATGTAACTGAGATCCGTCGTGATATATACCATCATCATAAATTTACCTAAGAAAAAGTCAAAAAGCAAACCGGAAACAATTTCATTGTTTTTTTTTCCATTTTAACGATGCCTAAATCAATCAAGAAAACAGTGAAGCGGCTACGACAATCTCAAGAAAGGACTGTAAGAAAAATACTGCTGACAAGACCACATCAGAACCAATAAAAAAACAATTAAAGAAAAGCAAAATCATGTACCTGGAACCCGGCGAGCCAGTTCCACCAGAGTGGAATGGGGACCATCAGAGGCACCATCCGACTCCGGCGACCGGTCGAAGCGAAGGAGCAGGTGGCTAGGGAGGGCGATGAGCTCCGACCCCGGGGGGATCTCATTGGTGGCAACGACGCCGAGACCGTAGGGGTCGCCGTCGGCGATCCGGAGGTTGGGGTGGACGAAGCCGCCCTCCCGGCGGACCCAACGGATCAGGTCGGACGGGTGAGGCACGAGACGAGACGCCGTGCCGGCGGAGGCCGTGGCACGGCACGTCAGCGAGCGGCGGTGAGCCAAGGAAGCGGCGGAGGTGGAGACCGCGGTCAGCATCTTAGAAGCCGCCACGATCACCATTTTGCGGAGTGGAGTGGAGACGAATCGAGCAGTTTGTCGCGAGCGAGAGGGATAGGAAGCGATCGGCCTACAAATGAGGGAGGAATGAAAAGTTGGACTCGGTGGAACGACTTGAGAATCCAAGTCTATGTTTACTCGGGCGGATCAGATCGAGTTCGAGACCGACTCGGACTCGAACTCGAACTCGAACTCGGATCGAGTTCAAATAAGAAACTTTGGTCTCCAATCCCCCATGAGAGTATGGAAGAGATATATATATATATATATATATATATATATATATATATATATATATATATATATATATATATATATATATATATATATATATATAT